AAAAAAAAAAAAAAAAAAAAGATAAATCTTAGTCATATGTGGGAAAATGGATGTACCTTGAGATTATAATGTTAAGTGAGATAAGCTTAAATATCACTTTGTTTCTCTTATATGAGAAATGGTGAAAAATACAGAGAAAATAGATATGTACTAGGAAGAGATCTTTCTCAAAGGGAAAGAAGATGAGCTGACAGAGGGAGAGAAGGAAGAGATGAGGTATGAAAAGAAATCAGAATGTCATACAATCAGGTCAGTAATTTAGCATAAGGAAAGCAGTGAGAGGTGCCGAGTGTCTCCGTATTACTGGGCCTGGACTTGAACACACTTGGTCAGCTGTCTCATCAACAGTTGCCTCTAGCACCTTCAATCTGTCTTCTCTGGGGCTATCTTATAATTTCTGACTGCATAGTTCCACGAACAACAGAAAAAGCTCTTCAGGAAACAAAAGTCAAAATGTTACTGAAAAGTCTTAGCTGAGAATTGTTTATTCCTAAAGCTGAACCCCCAGAACCCAAGAGAGTCAGGGGTGATAGCATGGAGAACAGCCTCAGAGGCTTCTGAAGTCTCGAACCCTCCCACCCACCCCTCGGGGAAGATCACATTCACACACATGACCTTTACCCTCTAGGGCAGATCAGAAAAATGGTCATCTGACCTCAGCACAAGGCAGCAACACACTACAAATACTCATAAGATAGTGAAAAAGAAAAAGAAAAGAAAGACAGTGAAAAAGATCGTTCCATGACACTTGGGTCTTAAGCCCAACAAAGAATTCTTCTGAGGTCTTGTTTCCATGGAAAATTCCATCTTTAATACGAGTCACAAAAACGTGCATTAAAACTCCAAAATGTGTTGTCTTCATCACCATGACCAGCCTACTGTTCTGGGAAATAGGTAAAACTTGAGTGACCCTGAAAAGACAATCCCTCTCGAAATAACTTCTCCTCTCCACAGCTGCCTCACAGCTAAAAGGTTCTTCTTTGGAGTTCCTTTGGGTGAGGCTTGGAGCAGTGACAGTATTTATAAAACAGTACCTGAGATGTAAATTTGCTTATCAGATGGATACTGTAGGAGACTCTTGTCTGTGCCAACTAGCGTGGGGCAGAAGAGCAAGAAAGACCCAGAAAAGCAAAAATAGTGAACTCAGTTAATGCATAATTTTACCTATGATGCCAAAGAAGAGCAAGAATGAGGAAACACTTTTCTAGAAGAGTCACTTGGTACTGAATGTGACCCTCAGCAGAGGAGAAAAGAAGGATGATTGTTGGCTGGTCTCCCTGGTGCTAAAAGAGTACATATAACCATTGCAATTAAATCTAATTTTGAGTCA